TTTATTTGATTGTCTATGTTGGTAATTATTTGCATGTATACGTAACGAGGTGTAGAAAGAGTCATTTGCAATCATTCCTTATAATAATTATTAAATATTATTTAGAATTTTTCAAGAACTTAAAACAATTAAACAATCTACTTACTACATGCAATATATGCAAAGCGAGCATGATCATTAGGCATTAAAGACGGGAAAAAATTTAGAGACTCAACATGATATTTAGCGGCTACTGCACCCTGATGTTTACACGATGCTCCGAATAGCCCAACAAAACATGTACATATACATAATTCTGTATTAACAGTATAAAATAGATCAGTGCCCTTTTTTTTGCTCGGAACCAAATACTCTATACTTATTTCTGTTTGTCGAATGTTTGCTGCATCAATCGCCTCCCAACTGGGACATAGGAACCTTTTAGCAATCCGAATATGACCAGGATAGCAGTGTGCTATTCCAAGTAATCGATGTTTATAATAGTGTTCTATACTTGTGACAATAAATTGAAATATTTGAACACTATTGTATGACTTAGTACATGTGAATATAATGTCTTTCAGCAATCTGAAACTACGCTCTATGTAGTTATTAGTATTATTTCCCTGTATAAGGAGCCCAGAGTGAAAATATATAGCCCAAAATTGTCGTCAGTTCCAAAGTAACTCAAAGTGTCTTTGTAGTTGTGGATATATATAATAATAGTTGGTTTTTAATTCATTGTAACTTTTTATCATTTCAACTTCTGTTGAAACATATAATATACTTTTCATAAGATTCATTATAGGCATTTTATGAGCCTTATTTACATTATGTTTTGAATTATGCAACCAGCACCAAAACGCTTGAAGCACATGAAATACACATAATAATTGTTTGGACTGTGGTCAGCAATGTTTTAGCACATTATGTTCAGAAATTGGATCGTCTGTAAGAAAAGTTACTGATCCAGTATCAGGCCCACAGCCAAAAAATGCGTGTTGTGGAAGAAGTGATTTTAGTATATTTATTCCTCTTTTAAGGATCGTTTCTAGCTTATCCGATGTCACAAGAATACCGAGAGGCAATGCACCTGCAATACAGCTTGTATAGAATAGAGTAACTGATGTATTCAATAGTTCAAATGATACTGAAGTGTCTACATAACAGATTTCTCCAGATTGTTGGACTTTTTCATGAAAGCGAACCATTAAATTAGTGATAACACAAAAAATAAAGGCTTTTTCTAACTGAGAGTCATATTCCTGATAAATCGCACGACCTTTTCCTGAACTATTATATGAATCGACTTTTTTTTTAAGCCATTGAAATATATGCATACCATTCTTTTCACCAAGACAATTACTACAAAACTGTTTAAATAAATTTAAAACATAACCATAATCAGGATTTAGTACACGGTCTGCTAATAATTCTATGAGCTCTTGATCATTACTTGCAAGCAAATGAAGGCTATCCTCGTATGTATATTGGGCAGTAGCAGGTGAGTGTCCATTTGCAAAAAGTTCAATATATTTATTGCGAACTTCATTTTTAACATGTCTAAAACTAAGTGCTTTTGCAGAATGAACAACATAATTATGTATATACTTAATGTTTACTTCAAGTGGATAATCAGTTTGAAGGTTCCACCGTTCAAGTTGAAGGTGAATTGTAGCCTTACATTCTGTATTTCTAATACGTAATGAACTAGTTTTTTTTAAGACTAGACTCTCGTGTTTTTTTCTTACTATATTGCTATGAATACAATATCTCAATTGTCTGAAAATAACTTTTTGTTCTAGAATTTGATAGCTCTTAGATTGAGGCATCGTAGTTTTTGATATTTCTTCAAAATCAGTTATCCATTTTTGTGTACCTTCAATATTATCAACGTTCACCATGAGATCTGCTTCAAATTGGTTTACTGAAAACCCTTCAATTGTAATATAGTCAGAAAGTTTGCAAATTTCAATTGCAAGATAATTATAATTTGATGGAAGTATATTTGTAACATATTCAGGTGCTATAACACTTTTGCCCTATTTGAATTGAGTAGTGATTCGATGCACTTATTATTTAATATTTCATTACTGATAGATGGTTCTGTTATATTTAGGTTCATGATAAGTAAAAAAAAAATAGGTATTTAGAGTATAACTCAAAAATTTAAAGAAAAATAGCGAATTTTTTTGAGAAGAAAAGGGTAAAAAAAAAAAAATAAATAAATAAAAAAAAGTGAAAGGTAAAAATAAGCAAAGTTTTTTTGAGTTCATTATTTCGTCATGTTTTTCTATATTTTTATCATAATTTGCCAAAAAAAGAAAATCTAATATCTGAGTTCTGAGTTTAAAAGTTCATCGTATTTAGCTTTAAACACAATACTTATTGTTATATTGTTTTCAGAAGTTT